CCGTTGGATTGTTTGGAGTTGTAGTCTGGTATGAATTTGGAATAATGCATTTTGCATTGCTCCTGCTCCTGTTCAACATATGCATTATGCATTCACTTTCTTTTATTTTGTGGAACAAGACCAGTTCAGTGGCAATGTAAGAAAAATGCCTACATTATAAGGTAACCCTCCAAAATGGAAGATGATCCACAACCTGTGGGACATTCTCTTATAGCACTGCTGTGCTGAACTTTACAATGCAGGAGATGGTTTGCTCTGTACAGTCAAGGTAAAAAAAAAAGTACATCTTCAATTCTGAGGTACTCCATGTCAGAAAACATAAAAAATGGAATACACTCTGTGATTCAGTAGCTTTTACAATCACATTTAGCTACAATAGCTTGATGTAACGATTTCCTATATGCCTTTATCAGTCTCTCACATAATTTTAGCCCACTCTTTGTTGTGTCATTGTTTGAGTTCATTTAGGACTGTGGGCATTCATGTATGCACAGCTCTCCAAATATCCCTCCACAGCATTTCAGTTGGGTTGAGGTCTGGACTTTTAGCGGGCAGTTGTACCACCTTGATTCTTTTGTTTTTCAGCCATTCTGTTGTAGATTTTCTGGTGTGCTTGGGAACAGTGTCCTGTTACATGGCCCAATGAGCCAAGCTTTAGCTGTTGAACAGACGCATGCATGTCACTCTGCTTTGGGATAAAAAGGAGTTGAAGGTTGACTCGGTTACCTCAATGTGCCCTGGACATGCGGTGGAAAAACAAGCCGTGCGTTATGGTCATAACGCTGTATGTTATGACCAGACGTCATTGTGGTCTTGTCTGTCCAAAAGACATTTTGTGGTTTATTCAGATGTAGCTTGACAGACCTGAAATCTCACACATCTTTTTAGAGAAAAAGAAGACATCTACCTTAAACCAGCCATGCTTACTCAGTCCTTTTCTAATTGTATGATAACAAAGCCTGGAGGTTAGTTATGAATGTTAGATTTTGACATGTAGGTCTTGGCTTTTTTACCATTTGTCTGACCATTGCACAGTCTGACCTTAAGGTGAAGTTCATGGGGCATTCACTGTACTGGTTGTGGTGAATGCTCCAAACCCACTAACTTCTAGAACTCAGTGGTCATACTGGCGGATGATCAGGTAATCAAGTGTAATTGATTGGCAGCACCTGGGTGCTACTTAACCTCTACAAAAGCAGTAAAGGTGTGATTGCAAAGAGTCGTAGTTATGATTTCTGCTTGGTCATCGCCGGTTGTCACTGGTTACTACTACTACAGCGCATAGTTATGCTAAACATGTGACTTGCTTGTTTTACCTGGTGGAGTTTTCGTGTTTGTTTGGTTTCTTCATCTTTATTAATTTTTTAGGACTATTTGATGGGAGTTTCTCCTGACTTTTACTTTGGATGTTTCTCTTTGTTATCACTGTACCAAAAAGTAGGGCTGTTTGATATAACGGTATATATCAGATGATGATATAAAAACGTCTGTCGTTTCATATCACGCTATCGTTTGTTTCATGGTGTCGCAAAATAAACTGTTTATTTTTTCATGGTTTTGATGGTCAGTGTAGCGGCTATATTAATTTCTTAAAGTTCTCTTTTTCTCTTATATTTAAAATAACCACACTATGGACGGACAAGCGACTGTTTTTACGTGTTGCCGTTAGCAACAACGACGGTAATATCAGCATGTGGGACCTGTCACTACCCGATCCGTACCGTAAACCCGATCCGTACCACGCACGTGCAAAAGGCCACTATTGCCGCTCAAAGCATTTTCCGATAGTTATGGGTCAGAGTATCTGTTAAGATGTTAAGAATAACAAGTATCTCTTAAAATGCTTGCAATAATGAAGCATTTCAGTACAATGTAGACAAAAACGAAAAATAAAAAGATAGTTACGGATCAGGCCTCCCCGATCCTTACTGCGCATGTGCAGATGTTTTCTTCTTCTTCTGTTCGTTTAATGGCAGTTTACTCCCCAGTGTACGAGGATACTGCCATCTGCTGACCGAGCGAATGAGCTCTGTTGTAAACTGAACTAGCGTCATTACAAACGCGTGTTAAATTCTACCACCGATGCAAGAATCACGTGAAAGAGTGTGCAGAGAGTTTACGGATGAGAAGCAAAAAAAAGATCCGGCAGGCGCTCCAAATGTTAGAACAGACTTTTCCCCGACGCATGGCGTGTAATAAATACTCACAAAGACAATGGCGGCCATTCCAACTTGTGCCTTAAAAATGTACAGTTTCATGCATCGGTCAAAACACTCTACTCCAGGTACACGACGCCCAGCTGGAAACACTTCGAGTCGAGTTGGCTGAGATTCACAGAATTTACAGAAAATTTAACATTTTTGTGATTTATATCGTTTTCGGGACAATAAATGTCGTATATCGAAATATGAGATTTTGGTCATATCGCACAGCCCTACCAAAAAGACCAAAGTTGGTGGTTATTTCCTCTGATGTTCAGCGCCAGTCATGAGCCCTTTATGATGCTGTGCAAGTGGAACAATAATTGCTTGATGCTCACATTAAAAATAAAAATTATAATTTTCTGAAAGCACGCAATAGCTGATTCAAGACATTTAAGCTGTAGGTACAGTATCTCTGCTTCCTAGTTTGCTACTTTCTGCTCAGCTCTCACAGAGTACTCTCCTCTATAGCACCTATCATAACTTGTTGGGTTGAATGTGTTCATACAGAGCAACCTTTATAGGGCTTTCTTAGTCCTGAATTATGGCAAGCAGTTGTAGCCGTCCTCGAGCCTCTCTGACAGCAAGATCAATAAGACTCGGCGAATGTCACGCAGGAAGCCATTTCAGTTCTAACTGGTGACATAAAAGAGCCCCCAGGCTGCCATATTGGCCCAGAGACCCCCGCTGCTCGCGGCTCCGCTCGCTTCCTTGTGAACCACCGCAGGGAAATCACCTTTCAAATAGTGACACACTCATCTCCTGTGAAATATATATGCAGCGCCACGTAATAAAGAGGTGCATATGCACAGTGGCATTTCCACTGCTGTCTGAAGACCTTCAGCACAAAGTAAAATATAGTCCCCTGGTGTCGGAGCTTTGATAAAGATGAATGGAGTCATTGCGACTGTAATAAGATAAAGGTAGTATGTGTTGACATTTCTGTTGGAATGGTGGAATAACATCAGGGCAGCTCTCAGAAGTACACAGTGATAAAGAAACCTGGGAGATGTAAGCCGGTGACATTTTTATCCATGTGGTTAACAAAGCTGAGTTTATATCAGCTTGTAGTAAAGCCAGCTATACATGTGCAAACTAGAATCATTAACTTCACTTTTAGTCTGCTACTGGGTCTTAGTGTTTTATTAATTATCATATATTTCTTTTAATGTGTAACCAGTTGCAGTAGTTGTTGTTTGGATAAAAGAGATATTCCTTCCAGATCCTATGTCAATGAATGTGTTAGGCAACAGAACCAATGCTCTGATACAGCGGTCCCCAACTTTTTTTGCGCCACAGACCGGTTTAATGCGACCGTGGCTCGGGGGTTGGGAAGCTCATCTGTAACTGGAAGGTTGCCGGTTCGATCCCCAGCTCTCTCTGTCCTGGTCGTTGTGTCCTTGGGCAAGACACTTTACCCTACCGCCTACTGGTGTTGGCCAGAGGGGCCGATGGCGCGATATGGCAGCTTCTGTCAGTCTGCCCCAGGGCAGCTGTGGCTACAACTGTGGTTTGCCTGCACCAGTGTGTGAATGTGAGAGTGAATGAATAGTGGAATTGTAAAGTGCTTTGAGCGCCTAGAAAAGCGCAATATAAATGCAATCCATTATTATTACACAATATTTTCACAGACCGTCCTTTAAGGTGTCGCCGATAAATACAACAAAATAAAATGATACGACCAATACGAAAACTGTGGTAATTTGTAAATATAATAATAAACGTGAATTAACTGTGTAACTTTATTAGCAGCGTCCTCCTGAAATGCGCCAACAACACTGAGAGTAACGTCCTCCTCTCTGCCCCTTAATGCGCTCTGGTCGCTATGGTAACGCGCAAATATTTCTTTCAAAATAAGACACACGACTACAACACGGGAAAAGACCCAGGGAAACCAAGTTTACGATAAAAACCCTGAAAACCATAAATTTCACACCCGAGCCTCAAACGACTCACGGACCACTACCGGTCCGTGGCCCAGGGGTTGGGAACCGCTGTGTTAGGCAACAGAACCAGTGCTGCAATAAAATACCAGCAGTACCAGCAGAACTACAGAACTAGAACAAGAACATAGGTAAAATCCTAAAACTCAAAATATTGAAGAAATTGATTCTGATTCTGAAGTGGGCTTATTTGTTCCCATACTCTGGTGAAAGAAACAGATATGTCTGATTCTATGCATTATTTTTTTAAATGTATATATTTATATGTAATGTTAATATGCAGTTGTGTGGTTTGGGATCAGTGTGTAGTATTATAAATCGTTCCTTTTAAACTATGAAAAAAAATCCTGTATCAGGATTTGTGGTTTTCTTTCATCTTTGTTCTGAAATACATCAAAACAAATTATTTGTTTTATATTTTTTGTGACTCGTTTCTTCAAAAACAGATAAAATAAGGTAAGACTTTGAGAACTAAACTTAGGAAAGGGCACCTCGAGTACATCTGCTTCAGAAAGTTACGGACTACATTGTCTAACAAAACTTTATATAGGACTTGTGTGACACAACAACCCCAACCTTATCCCCACCCACAGCGGCTCATAGAAACCCCTTCCTGATGCAGGTCTGTTCCTGCTTCAAAGGGAGTTCTTCCATCTTACTGCCATCAAGTGCTTGCTCACATCGTCTTCATTGTTCGGGGTTTTCTTTCTATGATGGTCAGCTATGGTTAGACTTCGTCCTGCCATGAAAACCTCTGTTCAAATGTTTTTGTTATGAGTTTGCATATTCCGAGTGTGACTCAGAATATGAAGAAATGACGACTGATGTGAAATTTATTTACGTTTTTGTGTTTCAGGTCTGGTGAAGCTGGGTGTCCACTGTGTCACAAACCAGAAAGTTGCCATAAAGATTGTCAACAGAGAAAAGCTCAGTGAGTCAGTTCTTATGAAGGTAAGACCAATTTTACTCTCTGCGTATGCAGTCATCCCCGGCTCATGTGGTTTAGTTGGGGTTCTAGTTCATCACCTGGTTCCCGGTCATGTCAGTGGGATTTGGAGAGAAAAGCAAAATCACTGGCCGTGTCTTGTCTGTCATGAGTGCATTGTCCCATGTACAGGAGTTAGGAGTTTGATGCACTGTTCTTTTTTTCTATGTGAATAATATTTAGCATTGCATGTTTTCCAGATTCTTTGTGGTAATTCTTACAACATAGTAGAAAATGTTCAGGTCCTTAGATTTCTATAACTACTTTTTTGCAAAGCTGCTATTGGCAAATATTCACTTTAGACACCAACAGGAGCAGGAAATAGACCAGAACATGATGCAGGTACAGTGCATTTCTCTCTACATTTCAAATATAAAAACCTCAGTTTCTCATGTACTTTCTCCGTCGCCTCTCTGTACAATGAAGGCGAATTTACTACTTTACTTCTGTGGGGAGATTTTGCACCTATGTGATTGTCAGACGTCGTTGCCCACATTTATGCTTGTGTGTGGTCACATATTAAAAACTGTGCGGTCATGTCGTGGAGTTTTATTTGCAGTCCCAGCCGATAGGAGGAAAAAAAAGCGTTGGGCCTTTTTTTCCCTCGTCAGTCTTGTTGTTTTTGTTTTGTGTTTGTCACATCATGTCCCTCTCGGTACTTTCAGCAATCTCTTTCCTGCTGACATTTCTTCTATATTTATGATTATTATTCTTTATACCGAGATGATGTGATGAACCCTGCTTCCAGGTCCAAACTACTCTGTGTTTATTAAGGCTGTTGTGTTTTTAACATGTTTTAATGCTGACATGGTTGTGTTCACTGCCAGCCATTCCCTCCTCTGTCTGTCTGGGGGTTGCCCCTGTAGCTTTCTCTAATCTTTCGCGCCTCGGCTTTATTTCAGAAGAAGCCGAGGCCCTGTTGTCATGGCAACAGGCAGCTATTGGCTCAAGTTATAACCGTTGCGTTCTCGCACAACGAAATTTAACCAGCTACCTAAAAATATAGTACCAAACCCAGATGGGATTTGAAGGAGGTGCATGTTGAAAGCATCACTGAGGCGCCGCTCCTCCTGCTTCCGTTGGCATTTTGAAGAGACCCCATCTCGTCCCATTTTGTTTGACATTTTCAGATGTGCTGCAGGTTCCCTTTTTTGTGTCTCTCCTTTCCTTTGCTCCAAACTTAGCGAAGCATTGGATTTATTCTGTCGAGGTTTTGCACACGAACGTCTCTTTTGTTCACCGCACAAGACCCATTTACATTTCCCTTGTTCGTCGTTAGACGCCGGATCACCCAAATCATTTCCATATAAATACATTTTGTTTTCTTTTTGTCATCTCAGATTTTTATCCATGACTGATAAAGTTGAAAGAATTTCTACTGGCTTTGCTAAACACACCAATATGAGAGAACAGGGCGAGGTTACTGGCAGCAGTAGTTCTACAGAGATAGCGGTGTATTTTAAGGCTGTGTGAATTATACAGGACTCAACCTGCTTCCCTCACGGGGATGGTGTCTGTTAGTCAGCATCTGGACTAGTGAAAATCATCTGACTCTAGAGGACAGTGATGGTGCCATACTACTACAGAGGCCGACAAATAGTTAACTTTATATGCTTGGTGAGTACAAAATGTTTGATAAGCAGCTGAATAGCTCGGGGACCGAGTAGTCCCTGTTGTAGTTCCTTGCACTGGTCTCCTCCAGGTGCTCCACTTTCAACCTTTAACTAGCCAATCAAGTGATGGCGTGGTGGTACAACAGTTAGCACTGTCCCCTCCCAGAAAAAAAAATGGCTTCAAGTTGAAACTTTGTGGCTGGCCTTTCTGTTTGAGCTCATGCTCTTCCTGTTCTTCCAAAGGTTTCATCTCAAAGTCCAAAGACTTGGATCTTAGGTTAGGTTGGTGATTGTAAATCGGATTTGGATGTGGATGGGAATTTGTTTGCTCACTCAGCTGGGATTGGGTCCAGGGAAGTTGGATAAGCAGTGGATGAATAAATGATCAAAGGATTACAATAAGCATAATAATGCTAAAAATGAAGCAAAACTATCTAATAAATAAGAATTTAGCAGCCAAACTGTTAATCACATTTTTAATAAACCGGTTATCCCCCTGAAGTGTGTGCCATACACAGTATATAAGATGGATGTTGCTGCTGGTTTCTGAAATATCATTTTGAAGATGAACCCTTCCATCACTGTCATCTTTGTATATGGATGTTGGATCTGACCGTGAAACTGCGTGCTTATTGGCCAGTGACATGTCAGTCACTAACTAATGAGCTCATCCTGAATAATCCTGTGCATGTGAAATGCAGGAGTGTTAAACTGTGCTGGGGCCACACAGGTCACATATAAGCCAATTTAATTAACAAAAAAAAAAAAATCCCTTTTTGTTAGTTTAAAGATCATCCTGACAGGGTTCATGATTAAGAAACCTTTTAAAATCACACATTAAAGTTATTCCATGTTTAGTAATTTGGTAATTATGGGCTTATTGACTAGCTGCCATATCCGTACCTACTGCACCCCAACAAGTTTGGATTATATAAATTGACCATAGATGTGACATGGTCATCTGTCTTTGTGGTGGTCCTGTGCTGGACTGGTAATCTGTGGAGAGTCCATACTTTTCACCCTACGTAATCTAGAATGAGAGCCTGCATTCTCTCAGGAAAACTGTGCAAATTTAATTATTGAAAATATAATAATATTTTTATGTTTTAAAAGCAAGAAAATAAGTTAAATAAAAACAGAAACTAAATAGACATTTGTAATAGGGCTGGGCCATATTATACCGTTCACAGTAATACTGGTACAATGTTAAGCAACGATAAGAAAATGAAATATCACGATAGAATATGGGTAAAACGCGCATGCTGACAGCACACTTATGACAATTCGAGTATGACAATTCAGATTACCGCTCATCTCATTGGTCGAGGAAAGGTCGCTTGCGGAGAAAATACCGGAAGACAACAGATGACCACAACAAGAAGCATGGCCAACAGGGAAACAAACGCCGACACTGCGGTGCAAGTCTCGGACGACGGTACACCTAAAGCTGGGCAGACACTGTGCGATTTTTTTTCAGTCGCGCGATTCAGCTCCTGCTCAAACTGCATGATTGACTCGCAGAGGTTAGAAGTTCGTAGGTCACGATTGTGAGATTATTTTGTTATCATATGTTACCTTATATATGAGATCAAAGTAGTTGCATTATAATATGGTATGTAGTTTTAGTTTGCATTAGACCTCTGACTTAGAAGAGTGTGAAAATCATTAGATCTGTTGGATTGACCTGTATTATGTTGAATGTCTTACATTGTTTCAAAGGAGTTGTTAGGATAATGGATGTTATTTTAATCTCACTGATATCATTTACATGCACTGTTATTAGTTCATTATTACTTCATTAGTCTGCATCAGGACATAGAAGGAGAACTTTCTGACTGAGGGGAAGTTATCATTTCCAGGAAGGTCTGTGTGATGTCATCATGGATAATATAAAAGATATGGGAGAGCCGCCTTCCGGCGGAGATCTGTGGCTGTACGCTTGTCTTCCCATGCTTCTGTCTTAGAAGTGTGTAATAAAGATCACTATTCTGGCATCTACTGAGACCATGCAGTCGTTTGTCTTCTCCTCAAAACTCGAATCATGACACGATGCAGGTCTCACACTATACGACCCGATGATCTGATGCGACCTGAGTGCTCACACTGTGCCTCCATAACATGAAGGTTATAACAGAGAATCTGTCGCTCTGTCTTTCACTCACACAGACACACCACCACCATCAACTTTGCTAAACTGCTAATGAAAAACATGATCAGGCAGCTGTGATTAAGCAGCGATGTAAATCCAACTATTTTCATGGTTGTTGTGGTCGTGATCATTTTGTGATGCCACATCGAAAAGGCTCGGATGAGTTCTACAAGTTCTACAAGTTGTGCCTCCATCGCTTGTGTCCAGATCACACGCTGCACTGCCGTGCTGCTCCATCTTTTTCACTGACATTTACGTGTTTGCGCGCGAGCAGTGTGAGCGGCTGTGGTGAGACCCTCACGAGCGATTGATGATCGGGAGCTGGTCGTGAGGTGTTAATCACTTCTCGTTACCCCACGTATACTACACGACGCACGATGAAGGCCAAAATCGGTCCGATCACCAAAACAGTCGCACGACTCAAAAATCGTCTCAAAATGGGCCAAAAATCGCACAGTGTGAGCCCAGCATTAGAGCAGCAATGTTTGTTCCCCTCAGAGAAAGGGAAGAATGGGGAAAAGGAAAACACCTGGCTGGAAAAAATTAATATGGGCATGTGCAGTGAATATCAGCGCTATGTGGCCAGAAGTGTGATAATATAATTTATTTTGTGTAATAAACAACTGCCAGGATAGATGATTACAACAAATAGATGACTAATACATAAAAGTAATACACAGATGAATAATGATGATGAGTTAAGATGCGTAATCATGGGAACAAGCGGGTTTACAAACATGAGCAGCCGATTAGCATTAGAAAAGCTGAAATAATACCTCAACTGAAGCCAATTGTACTAAATGCACTAAATGTGCACTGTTACAAGAATGTTTTTCTTTCTATTATTTTCTATTATTTTAAGTTAAGCAGGACAGAGTTCTTTTAAAGAAAGATTTACTTATATTCTCAAAAGTTAAGCATGACAGGCTTCTGTTTAAGAAAGAGACCTGTTTTCTTGTGTTAATGTTGTCATTTTGAGCTAAAAATAAATGGCTAAATGATCACTTGTTTCACATGTGTTCATATCACAAAGAATAGAATATGCATCTACTTAAATCAACTTCAAGTCAAATGGTTAAAAAAAAAAAAATTTCTCACACAAAAAAAGAACTAGAAAATTCACCACACTGGGAAGGGTGAAGACAACTGGGTTGCCCGGCCCTGGCCACGAGATGTCCCTTATTTATTTTTCAGGGAGTTGGCA